GTTAATGAATTATTTTTATATTTTAGGCAGGAAATTCGTTTTCAAATTTTGATTTTTTTTTCTGGGGCGGGGGGGGGACCCCCAGACCCCCCGTGGAAGATTTGGTCCCCCCCAATGTCAACTCCATTGCTTACTGCCTTGCCACGCACACAGATGACACATGAAGACCTACACACTCATAGCGATACACGGAGACGCATTGGAGACACGTTAAGATTTTTTTCTAGGGGGGGGGGGGACCACGGACGGACGGACCTCCAGACCCCGTGGAAGATTTGGTCCCCCCCCCAATGTTGACTCCATGGCTAGGGCCTTGCCGTGCGGTGTTGCATCGGACCACTTGGAAGCAGATTCGTGTGTAGCGAGAGGCGAGACACGCGGTCGGGGAACGATGCAATTGTGAACGAAAAAAAATCCCCGCGACGCAATTGTGCATCCTGCACGCGATTCGGTGACACGCGTTCATTTAATTTGTGTCTCGCGAAAGCAACGGCACCACCCACCCAAACCCATGTACGTCTGTATTATGTATAAGACTTGTGTCAGAATACACGCACGCACAATTGCATTGTACACGTTCTAATTCACGATCAAATTGACGTCCGGATAATTGTCGCGTAAATTATAGACCCAAAGATACACGCACACGCACACGAACGCACCCATACGTACACTCACGTACACGTGAGCATGCATACAAAAAAACCGCAAGTTTGCACATACACAAACAAAGACAAAGATCCTTCGTGTAGCCTTCGCAGACGATTGGGGCAAGTGCTGTTAGCGATCACCTAGGGGTGGGTGGCCAGCACCACGCCCGGCCGCCTTTGTCTCCCCAGTGGCGATGTTTACACACCGCACCAGGTACTCATTTGAGGCTGATTCGACCTGACCACACGCTCACATACCCCTAAAAAAAAGACGCACATGCACATACGCACACATACATATACAAACACACACACACATGACATGCATATTAGCCGACCCACAAACACAGTACACAAAAGACACACACACACGCACGCACAATCACATTTACACACATACACGGGCACACACACACACACACAATCACATTTACACACATACACGGACACACACACACGCACAATCACATGTACACACATACACGGAACATACACAGACACACGCACAATCACATTTACACACATACACGGACACACACACACAATCACATTTACACACATACACGGGCACACACACACAATCACATGTACACACATACACGGACACACACACACAATCACATGTACACACATACACGGACACACACACACGCACAATCACATTTACACACATACACGGTCACACACACAGATACAATCACATGTACACACATACACGGACACACACACACGCACAATCACATTTACACACATACACACACACCACGCACAATCACATGTACACACATACACGGACACACACGCACAATCACATTTACACACATACACGGGCACACACACACCAATCACATTTACACACATACACGGACACACACACACACGCACAATCACATGTACACACATACACGGTCACACACACAGACACAATCACATGTACACACATACACGGACACACACACACACACGCACAATCACATTTACACACATACACACACACACACGCACAATCACATGTACACACATACATGGACACACACGCACAATCACATGTACACACATACACGGACACACACACACACGCACAATCACATTTACACACATACACACACACACGCACAATCACATGTACACACATACACGGACACACACGCACAATCACATGTACACACATACACGGGCACACACACACGACACGAAGATCCTTAGCATGGCCTCATAAGTGGTGTAAAGCGTTGTTAGCGAGCACCTATTAGGCCAGAAATATCGCACGGCAGGTGGTGTTGCCAGAACCACGACCGGCCCTCTTTGTCTTCCCGAGGTTGAGTTGAAACGCTGACTAATATCGCTTCAGATACCACTCGGCCGGGAACCGTTCTCTGCGTAATGCGCTAACCGCTGCGCCACCGCTCCCAACACGCACGAAGACAAAGATCCCCCGTGTAGCTTTAACAGACTGTTGGGGCAAGTGCCGTTAGCGAGTAGCACCTGTGAAGGCTACACGTACGAGCACGCACACACACACACGTAGCTTGCACACCAATTGTGAGTGAAAAGCGATAACATCTGTACGGGAAAATCTATATATATACACAGATATATTCTCTCTGTCATTTGGTGAAATGCGTACACCTACACAAGTAACACATTCGCTAGGGGGTTTTCACATAAGTTAGAGACCAATTCAGCCACCACAACCTGCCACCATCATCACAACCACCATCATCACAACCACCATCATCACAACCACAACCACCACAACAACCCATGAACAATGTATACATCGCAAACTAACTCCCATATTTCGTACTTTTTTTTTAGCAAATCTCGACTTGCTGAGCAAACGCCCTAAAGATCCAAAAACTTCAAGCGGTCAGTAACAATCAGCACCGTTGGATTTCTAAGATAGAAGACTTCATATCTCACGAGAGTGCAATACAAGTTCAGCAAGCTCACCTGGTCAGCTCTACCGGAATTAAATTTTGACAATGCAAGGTGAATTTAACGATTCTAAATGAATCACGCAATGTGGAACACGCGAGCCAATGCACAACTGATTAGGTAACATAATTAATGAAGATAACTGTACACAATTAATAAAGATAACACATTAGACAATACACAATTAATTCTAGATTTGAAGATTTCGTGACTGCAAGGATTCATACTCTTTGTTTTTTTCGGTAAAGTCACGTAGGTAAAAAAAAATGAAAACAACTCAATTAAATCACGACGTTTCGGGCGCAACAGAAGCGTCCGTCATCAGTTGGGAAAGCATGTTCTGCTGCTGATGCAGACTGTTTAAAACTAAAAAGTATAACACACAATCAATAAAGACAACACGTTACACAACACATACTTAATAAACAACACGTTACACAAGACACAATGAATAAAATAACACGTTAAATAACACACAATCGATAAAGATACATGTTACACAATACACAAGTAATACAGACAACACGTTACACAACACATAATTAATCAAGTAAACACGTTACACAATACACAAAGGCGGTCGGGCGTGGTGCTGGCCACCCACCCCCTCGTGTACCATTCCGGCCTTCATAGGTGCTATTCGCTAACAGCACTTGCCCCAACAGTCCGTTACAGGCTACACGGGGGATCTTTGTCTTTGTATCTACTCAAAGTGTACAGAAGCACGCGAAGCTAAGGGGCGAAGTTGGGGGGGGGTTCTGAAGACACGCGGTCTCCTTCTCCTCTTGGCTGATGTAGAAGATGCAGAGTAGCGCCTGCCTGGACACACCAGCCTCGCCACACAAAGACAAAGATCACCCCCCCTCGTGTAGCCTGGACAGACTGTTGGGGCAAGTGCTGTTAGCGAGTAGCACCTATGAAGGCCGGCACGGCACATGAGGGGGTGGGTGCCCAGTGGCGATGTTAACTATACATCGCACCGGGTACTTATTTGAGGCCGAGTCGACCTAGGGGAGGCCCAAGACTAGTTCAGATAATCGTCACCGGTGTTGGCCGTGGGCGGGAATCGAACCCGTGTCGTTGGGTTCGTAGCGCAGCGTAGCGCTAACCGCTACACTACCGCTCCCCACTCTGTACACACACAGACACACACAGAGACACACACACAGAGACACACACACAGAGACACACTCACCAGACACACACAGAGACACACTAACACACACACCAGACACACACACACACAGACACACACCACAGATACACACACAGATACACACACACAGACACACACACAGAGACACACACACAGACACACACAGAGACACACACAGAGACACACACCAGACACACACCAGACGAGTTTGTATCCCCAGTGTTTATGTTTATGCCAGCTCGTAGCAGCAGCAGCAGGTATTAATTTAAGGCCGAGTCGACCTAGAGGAGCCCCAGGGACGAGTTCTGATACCGCTTGCCTCTGTGTACGATGCTATTTGGTTATTTCGGTGAAGTCACGTAAGGTAGAAAAAATAATAAATCAGGACGTTTCGATCGCCGCACAAGCAAACATCTTCAGGTGGGAAAACGGTGTCTTGTGTGGCCATCGAAACGTCGTGATCGATTCATTCCTGCAGTCACGAAAGCTTCACATCTGTGTACGATGTTAAGGGGGGGATTCAACACAACAACAACAACAACCGCCATTCGCCACTAAGTGGCGGTGACGTCACCACGACGCTCGTGCCAGGCCATGTGCACCTTGAGGCCACGTGAAGTGTCGAACACCCGCTGGCAGGAGGTCACGGGGCAGACCCAGTGCCACGGATCGACTGACTGAGAAGACCGAGATGACTGGCTGATGCACCACCTGTGCCCCCCTACTGTGTAAACTTGCTGTGCTTTAGCCACCCGGCACACATATGCACACTGACAAATACATAGCAAGCAAGCATACACCACCACCAGCATAGACATTTACACACGTGGACATGCCCGCGTACACACGATTCCAAAGACAAAGATCCCCCGTTGACTGTAGGGGCAAGTGCTGTTAGCGAGTAGCACCTACGAAGGCTGGCACGGTACACGAGCGGGTGGGGTGGCCAGCTCCACGCTCAGCCGCCTTTGTCTCCCCACTGTCGATGCTCACCACACCCGCAGATACACATTTGAGGCTGAGTCGACCTAGGGGATCCAAAACCAACTCGGGTGGCCGGGTTCGTAGCGCAACGCGGTAACCGCTCTCCCCCCCCCCCCCACCACGCGCACAAACGCGCACGCAGCTCTAACAACAACATCAACAACATCAACAACAACAACAACCGACTTGCAAGCAACGGCAACGTCACCCGCAGCTCCGGTGCCAGGCTAGGTACTGGTAGGAGATCACGGGAAACACAACCCCCCCCCCCCCAGGTGGTTTAAGATCGACTAACCACGCGCACGAAACAACAGCAACAGCAACAAAGACAATCTTGATTTGACACACACACACAGACGCATTGCCGCCCAACTTATACATTACTATTTTTAATATATCACAAAACGCACGACGTAGACGCCACTCACACGTTCACACGCGGACCGCAATGTACACCCCACGCGCACCTAACGGGTGTGGACCAGCGTCGCGCCAACGTTGGCGGGCCAACGTCGCGCCAACGTTGGCGGGCCGACGTTGCGTGTGGGTTGCCCCCCGATGGCTCTCACTGCAGGGAAACCCCTCCCGAGATGAGGCTGCTGCTGCTCACGACGTTTGCGCCGCTGCTATGAGTCGGCATGCCCGACGAGATCTCTGGGGAGGCTGACGATACGCGCGGTTGCTGCTGCTGCTGTTGTTGTTGCTGCTGCTGCTGCTGCTGCTGCATCTTCTTATTCACTTTCCGTTCCTTCGCTCGTCGGTTCTGGAACCAGATCTTCACCTGCGTCGGCACAGCACGCAGACGCGCAGGTGTGCGCGTTAGCCTGTGTGTGTGTGCATACAGAACGCGCGCGTGTGTGCGTGTGCGTTAGCCTCTGTGTGTGTGCGTGCGCATGCAGAGTGCGCGTGTGCGTGTGTGCGCGTTAGGCTTTGTGTGTGTCACAGCTACGACGGCGCACGGGTGGCACAGTCGGGTTCTTTACAATCGGGTTTCATTGTCTTTTTATTAAACCCGATCATCTGAGATTGGGAGAAATCCGGGTTAATTGGTTCTAATTGCGGCATCCGAGCGGAACTTCTCAACGTTAGTGTACGGTGGGTTTTTTTCTGGAATTTTTGCTGTTTTTCCCCCCTAGATTTTCAGTTTGCACATAGTCACATAGTAACTTTAAGATTTTTCTTGTTCGTGTGTTTTGTTTGTTGCGGTTGCACCCGATTCAAGAGCCGAATGGCTCACAGTGCTATACCTACTAAATGAACTTAATGGGCTTCATCCATTCCAAGCTAAGGAACTCACTGGCGCCCACGATTGTGGAGGAGAAGCTCGTGTTCATCAAGACCAACCTGCCTGCCGCATTCTACAACTACCTCGTGCCCGATGGCCCCGAGTACGATAGCAGCACCGACGAGGAAGCAGCCTATGCCTTGGATCAGAGTTTCGCATTCATTAAACCAGGTTTCAATCCCCCGAAATCGGGTTTAATTGTATTAAAGAAAAAACCCGATGCCTGCCGCTGTAAAAAAAAAATCGGGTTTGTGTCCACCCTTGTGACATCGATCGAGTTCCTGGCTGGAGGCCCTGACCTGTCTCTCGGAGAGGCCCAGGTGCGATGCGAGCTCGGACTTGCGCCTGATGGTGATGAATCGGTTCGCCTGGAACTCCTTCTCCAGCTCCAGCCGCTGATAGTCCGAGTACACCACGCGGTACTTATCCTTGGTACGCGTTTTGCCTGCGGGGAAGAACGGAGAGTTGTTGTTGTTGTGGTGGTGGTGGAGGGGGTGGGGGTGGGTGGGGAGGTGATGAATTGAAATCAGGGAATTTTTTTGTCGGGGAAATTTTTACAGGATGACGTCACCCTGCTGCTGCTCTATATAAGAACGGGAGACACAGCAGAGCCTCACCATTCTGGCGAATTGCCCGATGATGCTGGATGCAATTACCAGCGAAACGTCGTACTAAATTGTAAATGTTGTGGTTTCGCGCTTCAACACACCGGTGGGCTAAAGCACTGAACTAATTGTCTTTTGTCAACGTGACACTTTTTTACTGATTGGCCGTGTCGGGTGGTGGAGGGTTACGACACATTTATAAATAACGCGATCTAAACCCAAAAACGTTGATTATGAATAATATTGGTCGCGAAAGCCTGCTACGTGTTAAACTGAGGGTTTTCTGCGTCCTCCAAAACTCCCAACCGCCTGGGCTCCCCTCCCCCCCGCCCCCTTCCCTGCCCCCAATTGGGGGGGGGGGGCACGGAAATATATTCCGGAGCTCAGCCATGGGCAGCTCCAGCTGAAATGAAGGACCGATTTATATATATATATTTATATATTTATTTATTTCAAACACCAAATCAAAACTAAATGTACTTGTTAAAGTTACGACGTATATCCGATGAGTGTTCCGGTTGTGTCGCGTGTTGTTCGGCGACATGTCCGACGTTTCGCTTCACCTCCCCGGGCGAGGCCTTGAACGCCGTGCCAAACCATCGCGCGCGTCGCCCCGAACGAATGCACAACAGCAGCATGGGCAGAGGCGTGCAATGAATACGTGAATAACGGTAACAAGTTCTGATTCTGCACAAGCCGCGACTAACCCAACTCAGGAGTGGCGTTACGCTGTTACGCTGGAGCTAATCACGTCTGCACCGAGGCTCTCACAGTAATTCTAGATTTGAAGCTTTCGTGGCTGCAAGGATTCATATTCTTAGGTTTTTTTTCTCGGTAAATTTACGTAGGTAAAAAAATGAAATTAATAAAAGAAAAAGAAAAGAAAAATCACGACGTTTCGGAGGCAACACAAGCTTCCGTCTTCAGGTGGAACCGTCACAGCACGATAGCTGTATCAAGTAAATGAGAGAAATTCCAAGAAACAGTATTTCTATATATATACTGGTTGAGGTGGGAGGAGCCAAGGTAGGCACGTGGATATTATTTTGTGAGGTTCGGTGCGGCTGAAGCACGCTGTTAGGAATGAGCCTTTGTTGTGTAAACTAGGTGCGGATGATGTAAAGGTGCGTGTAAAAGGGACTGAGCCTTTTTGTTATGTAGAGATGATGCGGCTGAAATCACTGCGGTCCGAATCCGCGGCCACGTATGGGACAAGTTTTTCGAGGCTGCATGGAGGCGCGTAATGCGAATGCGCACGAGAACAAGGGAGACAAACGCCGTCGACAGAGATCATCACGCAGATGGACAATTGACTGTGTGTGTGGGGGGGGGAGGGTGTCAGTCAGATCGATCGCGTCGTAAACCCTCCGCCACCTGACGCAGGCAGATTATTACTTTCGCCACGTGATGAAACACACGTGGCCTAATTATAGAGGGGGTTTTGGGGGGGTGTTAGATGGCGTCAATATATAAATGTGTCGTTAAACCCGCCACCACCCGACACAGCCAATTAGTGAGGGTTGTCACGTAAACAGACACATACCATCTTCTTGGTTCTTTCGGTAAAGTCACGTAGAAGGGAAGTAATAAAATAATAAAAATAAAACATAATAAATTTCAATTTTTTAATTTTAATTTTATTTTAATTTTATTATGTTTCATTTTTATTTTATTACTTCCCTTCTACGTGACTTTACCGAAAGAACCAAAAGATGAATCCCTGCAGTCACGAAAGCTTTAAATCAAGACACATGCCAATCAGTGACTTACTTCAGCACCACAAGGTGCGTTGGAGAGTCAAGCCACAAACAGCACCCACAATTCGAGTGCACGATTTCACGAACCTCGCGAATTTTCACTGCCGGGTGAAGGTGGGTTTTAACGACACATTTACGCGATCTAACACTACACTATACAATCCTATACATTGCACTACTATACATTAGTATACACTACACTATACACTACTATAGACTACTATACACTACACTATACACTACACTATACACTACATACATTAGTATACACTACACTATACACTACTAGACACAACTATACATTACTATACACTACACTATACACTACACTATACACTACACTATACACTACACTATACACTATACTATACACTACTATACACAACTATACATAGTATACACTATACACTACAATACACTATACACTACTATACGGACTACTATACATTAGTATACACTACACTATACACTACTATACACTACTATACACTACACTATACACTACACTATACACTACTATACATTAGTATTCACTACACTATACGCTACTAGACACAACTATACATTACTATAAACTACACTATACACTACACTATACACTACACTCACTATACTATACACTACTAGACACACTATACATTAGTATACACTACACTATACACTACAATCACTATACACTACTATACACTGCACTACATACATTAGTATACACTGCACTATACACTACTAGACAACTATACATTACTATACACAACACTATACACTACTATACACTACACTATACACTACACTATACACTACACATACACTATACACTACTAGACACAAATACATTACTATACACTACACTATACACTACTATACACTACAATACACTACACTATATACTACTATACACTACACTATACACACTATACACTACTATACACTACTACTATACACTACTACTATACATCTATACACTACACTATACACTACTATACACTACACTATACACACTATCACCACTATACATTAGTATACACTACACTATACACTACTAGACACAACTATACATTACTATACACTACACTATACACTACTATACACTACACTATACACTACACTATACACTACACTACTATGCACTACACTATACACTACTATACATTACTATACACTACACTATACACTACACTATACACTACTATACATTACTATACACTACACTATACACTACTATACCTACACTATACACTACTATACACTACTATACACTACACTATACACTCCTTTACACTACTATACACTACACTATACACTACTCCACTATACACTATTATACACTACTAGACACAACTATACATTACTATACACTACACTATCACTACTATAACTATACACTACACTATACACTACACTACACTACACTATACACTATACTATACACTACAATACACTATACACTACTATACACTACACTACTATACATTACTATACACTACACTATACACTACTATACACTATACACTACTAAACATTACTATACACTACACAATACACTACTATACACTATACACTATTATACACTATAGACACAACTATACATTACTATATACTACACTATACACTACTATATACTATACACTACACTATACACTACACTATACACTACACTATACACTACTACATTACTATACACTACACTATACACTACTATACACTATACACTACAATACACTATACACTACTATACACTATACACTACTATACACTATACACTACTATACACTATACACTACTAAACATTACTATACACTACACTATACACTGCTATATACTATACACCACTATACACTATACACTACTAAACATTACTATACACTATACACTACTATACACTATACACTACTAACACTATACACTACTATACACTACTATACACTATACACTACTATATACTATACACTACTATATACTATACACTACTATATACTATACACTACTATACACTAAACACTACTATACACTATACACTACTATACACTATACACTACAATACACAGACTGTAGCTCTTCCCTGGGACTGCGTGAACAGTTACCGTGACTGTGCTCCCCGCCATGCGTACTCGACTAACGAGTCTATAACACAGATAACAACCCCTGAAGGGGCCATACATTTAGTGCGTACTGTACGCATGGAGGGGGAAGGAGGAGGGGTTAACCCAAATGCGTTCACTTGCGTATGGGGGCGTCTACTGACAATGGGGTGGGTGGTGAAGCCTCGATAATAATTTGTCTACATCAACTGAGTTCGATAGTCCGGCGGTGTGGACTATCTGATTTGCTTCAACACGTGAATATTATTCATAATCCTTGATCATTTCTGCGTGGATTAAATATCGGCCGTTCTATAGGATTCGGGGTGGTGGTGGTTTTGTAAAAAGTCCGCGTGCGTACAGAGAGGGGTCACGCTTTTGACAGATTGTGTTTGCGTGCGCACTCGATGGACGGCCCCAAACCATTCGCCACGATCCTGTCGCAAATCATTTGATGAAATGACGACGTATCTGCGAAACCACGTGAAACGGGAAAGGCGTAAATCATCTGGAGGGGAACCCGCTGTGCACGAACATCAGCCCCGCAAGCAGCGAGCGGGTCTGCTGGCGGTGTTAGCGAGCACCGCTTCAGGTCGGCACGAATCACGCCGCGTGACGGAGCGAGGTTGGGCAACATCCGTGCACACACACACACGTGCGTGTGTTTGTGGCAGAGGTCGCAAACGGGTTTTGATTCCTTACCCGTACCCGGCTGCACCAGTGGTCGCAAATGGATACCCGTACCCGTACCCTACCCGTACCCGGCCGGGTATCGGGTAGGGTACGGGTATCGGGTACCTGATTGCGACCTCTGGGATGAAGCCATGTTGCAGGCGCGGGTGGGTTGATTCTAGGAACTTGAATTGTGAGAAGAGACAAGACGTTGGGGAATGAGTGACAAACAGTTACTCACCAGTGACTCACGGCCTACCCGTACCCGTACCCGGCCGCACCAAGGTCGCAAACGGCTACCCGTACCCGTACCCGGCCGGGTACGGGTAGCCG